CACACACACACACACACACACACACACACACTCAGATAATGGAGCTGCTGTTTGCTCTGAGCCTCAGATTTCTTTCTGCTAAAGAGCAACTTGCACCAATATGTAGAGAAAAGCTGCAGAAACCAGATTATTGGAATTAATATTAACTACAGCAGCATTTAAATAGTTTGTACACGACTCAACGTACTCGACAGCGCCACCAGAGGGAGACAGCAGCCAGTCCAACAACAAGAGAATAAAATACAAAATAAATAAAAATCCAGTGAAAAAACAAAAAAACAGTTAAAAATGGTGGAATAATGTAATATTCACAAACTTTATAACCCGCAAAAATAACTGCAAATATCTGTAAAATTCTATTATTATTGGAAGGTTTAAATGCTGTAAAACTGATTTTAAAGGCACATTGTGAAAGAAATAAATACTGTTTGCAATTAAAAGGGATTTTTTGTAAACATTATTTAAAAAATCAATTTAAAAAATCTTTATATTTACCAAAAAAATTAATAATTAACTGATACTAAAGCTGTAGTTTAACAAAACAGGAAAAAAAAAAAACTTGTTTAAAAAAACAAAAACTGTTCTGGTGTTTAATTCAGTAACTTTTCTTTTACAGATTTTAATGTATTAAATAAAATAACAGAAAAATGATCAACAAATTGCCGTTAAAATGATTTTTTCCTGTTTGCTGAAACATCAACATGAGATGAGATGGAACTGAATTAACCCTGAGGGACAATAATATAAGAATAAATGGAGGGAATTCATACGACTGTTGTACTGAAGTTGTCTCATTATCTCATCTGATTATTATATTAATCACATTATTCTCCATATTTAGTGGAGTCTTTAAGATGTTTTATGGGCGGGTAAAATACTGTTTTATATCATTTTATTGGGTTTTAATCCCTGATATGCAAATTCTGGCAGATACATAAACCATAGGACCATAACCTCCATATTTAAAGTTGTTTGTTTGGTTTTTCATCACTGGAAGGTTGTTTTAAATCTGCATGTCGTAAAAAAAAAAAAACTGTTTCTGTTGCCTGTTTGGGATTAATTCTGATTTAATTCTATTGTGAAGCACTTTGCAGGTTTAAGTCTGACCTTTAGAAAAAGAAACCAAACTATCTGATCCCTTAGCTGCCATATTAGCTGGACCAGAGTGTTTTCTGAGTCCCAGTGACTGTTCTTCTGAGACCAGCAGCAGCCCTCTGACAGCGACCCAGTTAAAATGGCTGCAGACAAACTGCTGCAGAGACGAAGCTCCAGCGTGACTCAGCAGGAACGAGCTCAGAGCAGTGACACGGATCTGAAACGGGATCGAGGACGAGCCGAGGAAAAGAGCTGCGACTTTATGTCGCGTTGCAGAATCACAAACGTTACCGGGACAGAAAATAGTGAATATATTATTAAAAACATCGTTTGGTTCACTTCCATAGAGAAACTTTACTCTCTGCGCTGAGACGTTTCCTCTTCTACAAACTTTTCTTTCTTCCTTCCTCATTGGAGCTGGTTTTTAATTTGTTTACAGGCATGTTTTCAGGCTAACTTGTGTTTCTAACTTGAGCTCTGGATCATCGACCCGATCAATCATCGAAGCTGATTTTTGGCTTTTTTAGATCATAGTTATTGATGTTTTTTTTCTACTGATGCAGCAGCTCTCTGTCACTCAGCGACGTCCCGCCCACCGCGCCGTCTGATTGGCTGTTACACGTCACCACTAGCCGCCAATCAACAGCGAATTGTTTACACAGAGAGACAGACGAGCACATTAACAGAGCCGAGGTTTAAAGGTGGTGCAGCAGAGCTTTTAATGAACGCTGTCATCTACAAGCGTTCACAGCGTAACGCAGACAGACCAGTAATTCACTGGTAGGCGCTAAATGTGGCTAACGCTATCTGGAGCAGCTTAGCGTCTAAAAGTCAGATTAACTTGAACGCTCTGTTCTAACCGACAGACTCGACTCGCTGCAAAAAAAACTAAAGGAGAAGCACAAACACAAAGCAGGACGTCAGCGGCTTTCACGGCGGCTGATGCTACGCTAACAGCTAGCGGCTAAGCTAGCAAGCAGCCACAGATTAAACTGAAACAGAGTCTGAGAAAAACAACTAATGACGGTTTCAGATCCGTAGGGGGAAATAAAAGTGATCGAATAGAAAAAGAACGACAACAAACAGAACAGCAGGAGACAAACGTATTGATCCCAATCAACTGATTATTAGTAAACATCAGTAGTTGTCGTTACTGGTATTTCTACTGTAAACAGGTTCCTGCTGTTACAAACAGTTCATGTAGAATATTTACTGTATTTATTCAGTAAATGTCATGTTTAATTCTGTAGTAGTCCGGTTATGGACGACAGGTTCCTGTATCGGTTATCAGCCTTTCTCCATCACCAATAACTGATGCTAGCATCGGCGCTAACCAAACGCTAGCCCCTGTTTAGGATGACGCTCATCCTGGAGTTACCTTTGGTTATTGTTTCTTTACTTTGACGTGATTTTGTGATGTACTTTAGACTCCAGGAAGTCTGATAAATACTCGTACCTTCCTCCTCAGATCCTGAAGCGTGGTTGCCACGTGAACGACCGCGACGGTCTGACCGACATGACGCTGCTCCACTACAGCTGCAAGGCCGGCGCTCACGGAGTCGGTAAGACGCTGTTTAGGTTCTCCGTCCAGGTCCGGAGTTGTTCCTCATGAACTCTACAGACCGGTCTTTATCTGATGAGGTCATGCTCAGTTTTACCTTCATGCTGGGAATATCTGTAGAAGCGGGTCAGATCAGTCCATCATTCTGAGCCTCAGAACTTCACCAGCAGGTGGACACACGACAAACGTGGAGTTTATCTGAGTCGGTTTGTGGCTCATTTTGTCATGTTTTGTCTTGTTTTTATCGTTTTATTTCCTCGTTGGTCGTTTTATGTCTCATTTGTCTGGTTTTGTCTCATTTTTGTCATTTTGTGTCTTTTTTGTCTAATTTTTGGTCATTTTGTCTGTTTTTTGTCTTGTTTTTATCGTTTTGTTTCCGTGTTCATCTCGCTTGTCTCGTTTTTTGTTGTTTTATCTTTTGTTTGTCTAGTTTTTTGTCGTTGGTCTAAATATTTGTTGTTTTGTTTCCTTGTTGGTCGTTTTATGTCTTGTTTGTCTGGCTTTGTGTCTCATTTTTGTCTTGCTTGTGTTGTTTTTCTCGTTTTGTGTCTCGTTCATGTGGCTTTCTGACAGTTTCGTCTCCTTTCTGTTGTTTCGAGTCTTGTTTGCGTCGTCTTGTCTTCTTTTGGATCAGAACCAGGTCCAGTGTTCAGACTGAGACACCTGGATGGATGTAGAACTGGTCTGGTGTCAGGTTCTACCAGAACTCAGATGTGTTCTTCCTCCTACATGTCATGTGTCTATCTGCTGTACTGATGAAGTTCTGAGGCTCAGACATGAATCGGGCCGGTCGGTTCTGGAGCAGCTCTCAGTTTGCTGGTCACTGTGTGTGCAGGCGACCCGGCGGCGGCGCTGCGACTCTCCAGTCAGCTGATCTCTTTGGGCGCCGACGTCAGCCTGAGGAGCCGCTGGACCAACATGAACGCTCTGCACTACGCCGCCTACTTCGACGTCCCGGAGCTGATCCGAGTTCTGCTGAAGGCCGCCAAACCCAGAGGTACCGAACCCGGATCACATCCGATTAATGTCCAGCGATACGTCAGTGTCAGCAGGACGGTGGTCGGAACAAGTTCTAGACAATAAAAGGATCATTTCTACTACAGTTGGATGAAAATATGGATAAAATGTCAGAAAAACGTTATTAAATAGTCCAACAACATCAGTGACTGTCTGGAAGTATTTAGATGTCTGAAAATATGAATAAAATGTAGAAACGTGATGAAATTATCCAATAATTAAAATAAATAAATAAATAAAGTTATAATAAAAATATTAATAAAATGTCCAAAATTAATAATAAATGTCAGAAAAATCTGATAATTATTTTATTATAATTGATTAATATGTTTAAAACATCAGAGAAATATTCATGTAATTCTCAAAAATATCTATGAAAGTCTCTATAATATTGTTTTATGGTCCAACAATGTCAATGAAGAGTGATGGAAGATTATTTAGATGTCTGCAATATTAATAAAATAAAAAGATATTCAGATGTCTGAAAATATGAACACACTTTCTAAGAATATTACTGAAATGTTAAAAAAAAAGAAGCTGAAAAGTGTTAAGAAAAATACTAAAAAAGTGATTAAAAAACAACAAAGGCAAGTTATAGCAAATAAAAAGTCTTGTTTTTACCTACATTTTGATTTTTAAAAAAGTAAAATCATGTAAGAAAGTATAAATGAAATAAATGGAAATGTGAGTATATTTAAAAATATTCATAAAATGCAAAACGATGTTATTAAATTGTTTAACAATGTCAATGAAACGTCTGAAAATATTAATAAAGCATCTAAAATGTTTATCAACTGTCCAAAAATATAATTAAGATGTCTGTTTTCCCTATAACCATTTAATATATATATCACATAACTAAATGATAAAACAGTTTAACAACAGAGTGGATGGTTTCTAGAAGATGATCCTGGTGTCCAACGGAGATAAAAACAACACCTTTTATTTGACCAACCTCTTATGACACCTCAGTGCTTTAAACATCACCTCCTCCTTCTTCTTCTTCTTCTTCTTCTTCTTCTTCTTCTTCTTCTTCTTCAGTGCTGAACTCCACCTGCAGTGACTTCCACTACGGCACGGCGCTCCACATCGCCGCCTCCAACCTTTGTCTGGGCGCCGTCAAGTGTCTGCTGGAGCACGGAGCCAATCCCACCGTCAGGGTAAAAAAACAAAAACTCACTTTAGTCACAGATTGAATGTTTTTTGCGAGGTTTCAAGGCGTAGATTCAGCCTACAGAAAAAGATTCAAAGAGGATCTAGTCTAGCAGTAGGTTTAATCTGTGTTTTTTCTACTTTCTAACTCATAAAAATGCTGTTACACGTCTTTATTGTGGAGAATTTACGTTTTTTAAAACCGGATTTTTTCCTCTGCATATTTTCAGCATTTTAGGATCTTCAAATTTTGATATATCCGCAAAAAAAGTCCAAAAAATGCGTTGGTTGGATGTCAAATTGTTTCATTTACTGGATCTGAAAGTCATGAAAGACTCAACAATCAGTTTTCCAACGGTCCTTGAACTCGTCGTCTCTGACGTGCAGCTCCATCGGGACAATCGGTCGTAATATTTTTCACTTTGTTCTACGTGTTTCTTTTAAAAAGTTAAGTGACTGTAAAGAACAAAAACATCTAAAAGACAATAAATACTGGACCTGGACTCATCACATCAGCAGCTAAAGTGCTAATTATTACAGTTAAGTGGTGGTGGAGACCAAAAACGGAGCTAAAAGATGGTGAGTCTTGAACTTGGACTCATCATAATGTCCACTAAAATCAGATGTTTTCTTCTGGAGGTGGTGGAGGTCGATCAGTTGCCTACGATCTAATCTAATAAAACCAACTACGTTTCACAGGTTGTCTAGAAAAAGATCTGCCATTGAAACTTTATCTTTGTGCAAAAAGAAAAAGGAACGACTGTCTGACTTCTTCTTATTGGACGTCCTCAATCAGTTTGCTTTAAACGGATCCGGTAAAATGTTCTGAGCTCCTCATCAGTGACTCAGCTGTGGTCCAAAGTACAGAAATGTGGGTTTTACAGAGTTAAATCCAGCCCCGCCTCCTCCTACATTTCCCATCATGCACCTGGCACACGGCTCCTCTAAACCCCGTCCGTTGGTTCCTGCAGAACGATAAGGGCCAGGTCCCGGCCGAGGTGGTCCCCGACCCGATGGACATGAGCCTGGACAAGGCGGAGGCGGCGATGGTGGCCAAGGAGCTGAAGCAGCTGCTGCTGGACGCCGTCCCGCTGAGCTGCAACCTGCCCCGAGCAACGCTGCCCAACTACGACAACATCCCCGGCAACCTGATGCTGACCTCGCTGGGGCTGAAGCTGGGAGACCGAGTGGTTCTGGACGACATGAAGGTCAGACGCTGCCCAATAGACTCACACAGAAGATTGAAATGTGCTGTCAAGCCGCTTTCATTGAGTTACGTCAACTTGAATCTAGTTTCAGATCAAATAATGCAGACATTTGAGTTTAGATAATAAATTCAACTAAAATTGAATTGAATTGAATTAATAAGTCGATCGACACCGTGGATGTCTTGGAGGGAACAGGTCCCTTCAATTTCTTGGTTTCACATTTAAACAGATCTGTAAAAATCTGAAAACATCAATCTGTTGCTGTAGAAACCTCTCAGGCAACGAGAAGTTTGCCGTGTTGCATGTCCTCGTTGCGAGGCTCTTTTAAATCAGATGAACACCTACATACTTATAAAATATCACATTACCAGCTAGAAGCAGATATTTCCTTCAGGAGGTGGTGGAGACCAAAAACAGAGCTAAAAAGCAATAAATACTGGTCTTGGATTTGTTATGTTTGTGGCCAAAGAGCCAGATACTTCTGTCAGGAGTTGGTAGAGACCTAAAACGGAGCAAATAAGAGCAAATACTAGACTTGGACTCGTCACATTAGCAGCTAAAGTGCTAAATATTTCAGTTTAGTGGTGGTCGAGACCAAAAACGGAGCTAAAAGAGAGTGAGCTTTGGACTTAAACTCATCACATTAGCAGCTAAAATGCTAATTATTTTAGTTGATGGTACAGACCAACAACAGAGCTAAAAAACAATGAATACTGGACTTGGATTTATTAAATTTGTTGCTGAAGAGCCAGATAATTCTGTAAGAAGGTGGTAGAGACCAAAAATAGAGCTAAAATGCAATAAATGCTGGACTTGGACTCATCCCATCAGCAGCTAAAGTGCTAAATATCTCAGCTAAGTGGTGGTAGAGACTAAAAACGGAGCTAAAAGATGGTTCGTTTTGGACTTGGATTCGTCGTAATATCCGCTAATATCAGATGTTTCCTTCTGGAGTTGGTGGAGGTCGATCAGTTGCCTTCAATCTAATCTAATAAAATTACGTTTCACAAGTTGTTCAGAACAAAGATCTGTCAATCTTTGTTTAAAAAAAGAAATGACAGCAGCCGAAGCCTCTGCTTTTAGACTGAAGTTGTTAATGCATGGATATAGGGACATGTTTGGAGTGTCTTCGCCAGCTGGAAGCACGTTTTGCATTTAAGCTTCATCTAGCAACCATGTGAACTCTGAACAGTGTGTTCTCGCTGTGTAGCTCCAGAGAGACCAGAGCCGAGACGACAGCCCGGCTGCAAACCTCACTCAGGTTGGTTTTAGCTCCGGCCGGCTGGACCCTAAAACAAACTAACAACATGTTGTCTCCCGATTAAAATCACCTTCACTCCATCTGTTGCATCCCCTCCATAAGACCCAACCAGCTCCTGGGTGTTTGGAGTCCTGCGTCCTTGTCTGACTTCACAACCTCGTCTTTCTTTTTCCTCTCAGAGCGGCACTTTGAGGTTTTGCGGCACCACAGAGTTCGCCAGCGGCCAGTGGGTCGGCGTGGAGCTGGACGAACCGGAGGGGAAGAACGACGGCAGCGTGGGCGGCGTCCGATACTTCATCTGCCCTCCCAAACTCGGTAACTATACAGATACATAAGTCATGGATCAGGCATCGACATGAGGCTTTGAAAAGTCAGTTACACACCTGTGATGGTGAAAGCTGGCTCTAGTAACACCGTACATTTGTTTTAGAATAATTTTCAGGCAGAAAGAGAGAAATCTGGAGCATTGAGCAGCTAAAGAACCAGACGTTTCCCTCTGGAGGTGTAGAGAAGGTGGTAAAGAGACGAATTCATGTGGAGGAGCAGCTAAAGAGCTAAATGTTTCCTTTAAGAGGTGGAAGAAAGCTCGTAAATATGGACTTAGTTTCAATACATTAGTAACCAAAAAATGAAATAATTCCTTCAGGAGATGGTAGAAGCCAAAATAAATGGTTAAAAGATGATGATTACTGGACTTCCATTCATCACATTAGCAGCTGAAGAGCTAAATACTTCCCGTAGGAGGTGGTGGAGACCAAAAACAGAGCAAAAGGACAGTGAATGTTGGATTTAAGTGAATTTGTTGGACACTAACACCAAGGCTGGCTCACTTTATCACCCTAACCACCTCTGAATGCGACCAAACGGTGTTTCTGTGGCACAAACTCAGGCTGTGGATGGAATCGGAGATGCTGACTCGTCGTCTTTGTCTTTTTCTGCAGGTATTTTCGCTCCAGTGTCAAAGATTTCCAAAGCCGTGGATCAGACGAACTCGTCCGTCACCTCGACCCCCAGAACTCCTCGCATGGACCTGGCCTCCCGCCTGGCCGGAAAGACCAAGAAGGAGAAGGAGAAGAAGGAGAAGGAGCGGGAGAAAGGTAAGCCAGGTTCTAGTCTCTGTTTTTATAAACATGCTGCCTCGTTTGGGTTTGGACAGTTTGTCGTTCGCCCTCAGCCCAGAGGAAGAAGTCCTCGGTGGCCAGTCTGGATCCAGAGGGCCTGAACGTGGAGGTCGGAGACCAGGTTCTGGTGGCCGGACAGAAAAACGGCATCGTTCGCTTCTACGGGAAAACGGACTTCGCTCCGGGTGAGTCCATTTAAAATCCCAGAGTTAAGCAGTTTAACGTTAGTTCTCCTGTTGAACCTGATGTTTGGCTAATTGTTGGTACCAGAACTGAAAAGAACCGCCATCAGAACCTCTGACACTCGACAGTTTTATTTTCAAATTTATCTAACTGCTCATGTTGGCTACATGTTGGATGTAAGGACAGATTCCTGTGGCTGGTTTCTACATCTTTTGGAGGTTTATCATCATTTTTCGACATTTTTTCATCTTTTTTGGTCATTTTCTGTCAAATTTTGCATTTATTTGTAGAAAACTTTTCCCTTTGTGGATGTTTCACGTCTCATTTTGGTGGTTTTGTGTTTAATTTGCGTAATTTTTTGCCACAATTTGGTCATTTAGTCTCACTCTGGTTGCTTTTCCTTAAATTTAAACCGGTTTCTAATTTTCATCTCGTTTCATCTTTTTTTTAGCCTGTTTGTGTTTCGTTTTCTTGCACATCTTTGCGGTTGTTTGATTATTGTTGGTGTTGTTGGTATATTTTAGTGGTTTCGTATCTTTTTCTTTCCACTTTTGTTCATTTCGTGTCTTATTTTGATTGTTTTGCGTCTTTGCTGCCACATTTCACGCTTCAGTCGTTTGGATGAAGCGGTAAAATATCAGAAGATGGTTTTTGTTTCGCTGAGAAACCAAAAGCAGCTCCGATGAGTCCAGGTGGGTTCTGATGGGCTGTTCTGGTCCCGGCAGGTTACTGGTTCGGCATCGAGCTGGACCAGCCGACGGGGAAACACGACGGCTCGGTGTTCGGCGTGCGCTACTTCAGCTGCCTGCCCAAATATGGAGTGTTTGCTCCGCCCTCCCGCGTCCAGAGGTAACGACACACCTGCAGCATTTAGTCGAGTCATTAAAGTTGAACTGGTTGGTGCTAAATCTAACAGGAAGTGACGCCTGCTGTGGGTCAGAGCTTCAAAATAAAAGACGAGTTTAATGTGAAAAATCTTAAAACGTCCAACAAACGTTTTCTTTGTTTGCTGCTGTTTGTTTAGAATCGGAGGTCCTAAAGACGGCTCCCAGAGCGACGGCTCGATGGTCAAGAAGGTCCACCAGGTCACCAGTAAGTGTCTCCTTTAGCATCACAACAGGAATCCGCTGAGTTAAAGTTCTGCTGAACAATCACATGATGTGAGTTCATCCTGTTTGGAGGAGAACAAACTGCTGTGATGTTAAAACAGTCGTTTAGCTGCTTCACTCTGATTTGATAAATGAACACGAATGTGGTTCAAATTCCCCAAATCGACCCTGAACATCTGCAGAAGTTCCATTTAATTATCAGAGACCTGATTCCTGCTGCGCCTAATGTTTGTTTGTTTGTTTGTTTGTTTAGTGTCGCAGCCCAAACGTAACTTCAACACGATGCGTTCTCCTAAAGACCTGACCTCTGAGAGCTCCATATCCAGGTGAGAACCAGCAGCAGGTTCTTCAGGCTCATGTTTGACGTCCTGAACTTTGTGTTTCTTCGTCTCTTCAGTCGATCGTTGAAACGTCGGAGGTTCAATTCATTTGGATGAATTCACTGATTTTACATGTTTCCTTCATTTTCCTTTACTGAGCGAAAAAACTGAATTTTAATGGACCTGAGTCGACTTTGACTGAAGTCATCTCCTCTTCATGCTTTTCTTCCTCCTCCTCCTCTTCCTCCTCCACCTCCCCCTCTTTTCTTCCTCCACCACATACTCTTCTTCCTCCTCTTCTGCTTCTCCTCCTTCTCCTGTTCCTCCTCTTCCAACTCATCCTCTTCCACTTCTACCGCCCTCTCTCCTGCTCTTCCTCCTCCTCTTCCTCTTCCTCCTTTCTGCCTCCTCCACCTCTTCCTCTCTTCTTCCTCCTCCTTCTTCCTCCTCCTCCTCCTCTTCTTCCTCTTCCTCCTCCTCCTCTTCCTCCTCCTCCTCCCCCTCCTCCTTCTCTTCCTGCTCTTCCTCCTCCATCTCTCTTCTTCCTCCTCCTTCTTCTTCCCCCTCCTCCTCCTCTTCCTCCTCCTCCTCCTTCTTCCTCCTCCTCCTCCTCCTCCTGCAGGTTGCTGTTCTGCTGTTGGTTTCCGTGGATGCTTCGCGCTGAGATGCAGTCCTAACCACGCCCTCCTCCTTCACCTCCTCCTCCTTCTCCTCCTTCCACCGGATCGATCTCTCGGCTCTACTTTCTCTCCATCTTTTTTTGCTTTCTTTCTCTCTGAGCCTCCCGTCGTCCTCCAGACTCCTCGTGGTGAAACTCCTCCTCCTCCTCCGTCCCTCTAATTTAGCCGTTCTATAGCAACATCTATAGTGCCTTGTATCTGATCAAAACGTCCTGCATTCCTTTAAACAAACCCACAATATTACCGTCTCCGCTGTTTTCCTCAGCGCCTCGCCGTCCCAGCTCGGTATGCGTTCCTTCACCGGGGCCAGATAGCATTAGCCTGAGCTGCTACACGTTTTAGTTTCGCTGCTGCTAGCTTTGGGTCTTACATTCTGAAATGATGGCCGAGCTTCGGCACCGGGCTGCTGAAAACTAGGAAATAATGCCGATGTTTCTTCAGTTCGTTAAGTCCTGAAATGGTTTATTTGTGACGTGAAGACCAAGAACTTGATTCAGCAGCTGCTGCCTCCGATTAAAGCTGCTTTTCTTTATGCTCACGTCTGACGCTGCTTTCAAATGGCTTCCAGAAACGGTGGAAATGTTTATTTTATTTTAGCATCTGAGGAAAACACTGACTAATCCAACAGCCTTATTTTTTTTATTTATGCCTTTGTGTTTCTTACATCATGTTGCCTCCTTGCTGCATTGCTAATCAGTTAGCCTCCACCAAACTCAGACATCATCATCGCAACGCTCAATAAGATGTTGTTATCCATTTTGATTAAAGTAGAAAGAACTCTGATAACGGCATGAAATGGATCTTTGTACCTGGTAAACATAGCGACAGGGTGTATTTTAACCCAAACAAAAATCCTTTTCTGAACCTAACCAAGTAGTTCTGGTGACTAAACTTAACCAAGTTGTTTTGGCGGCAAAATTTAACTGAGTGGTGTTGGCGGGAAAATGTAGCCAAGTACTTTTACCGCCTGAACTCAATAAGGTAGTTTTTACATTAAGTCATTTTGGCGGGAAAACATAATCAGGCAGTTTTAGACCCTAAACTTCGCCAGGCAGTTGTGGTGGCTAAACTTCATCAAGTAGCTGTGGTGACTGAAATTACCCAAGTGCTAGCAGTTTTGACAGTTAAACTAAAGTGAGTCGTTTTGGCGGGAAAACTCAACAAAGTTGTTTTGGCTCCAAAACTGAATTGAGTAGTAATGGCGGGAAAACATAATCAGGTTGTGGTGGCTAAACGTCACCAAGTAGCTGTGGTGGCTAAAATTACCCAAGTACTATTAGTTTTGACAGTTAAACTTGGGTGAGTAGTTTTGGCGGGAAAACTTAATTGTATAGTTTATTACATCCCTGTTATCAAGCAGCAGCGTTTTCACAACTTCCAGCCGATGTTAAGACTTGAAGCATTTGGGGTTCATAACTTCTCGTGCCGTCAACAAGCTTTCCATCTGAAGGCAGCAGTGGCATAAAGAAAAGCACCCGTTGTTTCTGAGTTTCCACGATTTGAATGTTAGCTTAGCATCAAAGCGTCAGATTCACTGTAACCTTTATAAAAACTGAGAACTGTGGGCGAAGGACTGGATTCACCTGCACGCTTTAGTCTCAGACGTGAAAACAGGGTTTTATTGTTTGTTTTAAATCTTTTTTTTTTTAACTCACAGTTGGAACGTGACTTAAAAACGGTTCTTGGTCTCTGAAGCATCTCAACATTATATTTAGAGCCTTTAATTTGTGTTTGCAGCCAGTTTCCAGTGAATCCGATCTCACAGAAGGTTTTTTTCTTCATACTTTGAAGTAGAGAAGTATCGATAGTTAGACGTTAGAGCAGCTTAACACAGAGAAGTCATTATTAATCAACGTATTGCCAAATACAGACTGTGGTGTATCATAGGTTATATAAAGAGCTGCACTCGTAATCTGTCGTTAACCAAAACTGCTAACTGACCCAAAACGACGACTTTCTTTTGATGCAACTTAAATCGGAAGTGTTCAGTGTTTCAGCCCCGCGACACCAGATATTAACGTTTTGTTTCTTTGTGTTGCCAAAATAAGCTTCATTTAAACTTTAAACTGACGGTTTGGAGTTGAATATTTGTTTACGATAATCAAACATTAATCTTTTTAATATGTAGAAATATAAAACCCTGTCCAGAGATATTTGTAAAAGTTTCCCTCTCTCTCTCTTTCTCCTCCTCCTCCTCTTCTCTCATCCCTCTTCCTCGACTTCGGTACCTTTTTGTGAACGTGAGCATCTGCGAAAAGACAAAAACCAGTTAACCTATGTGTGTGCTTGGTGTTCAAATCTCTCTCAAAGTCTGTGCATATCTGAAAACAGCAATATGTAAACAGTGTACCTATCTCTGTGTGGAAATGGTCCCGTGTTCATGTCTCTTTACACTCTGTGAGCACACCGATGCAGAAAACAGCCGAGGCTGCCGAGAAAACCACCAGGAAGTCAGCGTCTAGAGCTGCAAACCTTCAAGAGCCACTTTGGTTCGCTAGCCACTGGGGCACGAGAATATTTAGCTAGCCACCCAAAAATAAACTGCTGATCTAGAAATCTACAATTTACAACCTTCAGTTTGCAACCAGGTTCCATTGTTTACCAGCCGCCAGGTTGCATAAATGGACTCACATTAGCCATGAAGCTAATTATAGAGAACGTCCTTTAGCTCCTACGAGCTTTAACTTAGAGGTCATTTGGAAATTATTGACAATATGTAGAAGATATGTTGTGATTTGCAGAGTTCTGGCATTAAGAAAGTTTTAGTTGTTGTTTAAATGAGTTACTGTAGATGAAGATACAAGCAAAAATATCTTTAAGCTAAAGTTGGGTTTTAGCCTGATGCTAAACAAGTGATCAACCTTTCACGTTCATGCAAAAGCTGTGAGAGAAAACAGAAAATGGCTCCTGAATCTTGGAAAGTGACTCTCAAGCTTTCTCGGCTGTTCCTGTTAGCATAAAGTTCTCGGCAGCCTCGGTTAACGGAGACACTTGGTGGCTGCTCCTGCACACTGCTGTGGATAACTGTTCTGTTTGTGCCCGTGGAATCAGCTTCAACATCACACTAATAGCTACTTATCGCTTACACTCATCGGGTTTAGCTGCAGAACTCGGTCCGTAAGGGACCAAGAGCAGAGCAAACGGCGCTTCGTTTCGACCCTCGAGCTTTGTTGTGAGGTGCAAGTTGAGTTACGTGGACACAAATGACTGATATCATAGCACTGAAGGTGTTTTCTGGTCCGACACTTTTCTGGTTTTCTCAGCTTGTTGAGCTGCAGAGTTTCAGTACAGACCCTGGAATGAATTTGAGAAGCTTCACAGGAGTGTAAACGTCTCAAAAACTGCAATCTGCACATGCAAACTCCGTCTTACTTTAGAGATGTAGCAAGGCTGAATGCTAAGTTGTTTAGTCTTATCGTACCAATAAAATCAAATTTGCCACATCTCTCAGAAGAAATATGAACTTTTAGCTGCTTCTCTGAAACAAATAGCCGTTGAAGCGTTCCAGAAAGCTCCTGGAAGACTTCACGTTGGCACGATATGCAGATGACTCACAGCTTTACCTTCCAAAACTAATAAAAATCTAATCTGCAACTCTCAAAATAAATTTGGCCGCTTTTCTGAAACAAAAAGCTGTTAAGAGGTCCAGAAACATCCCGGAGGCTCGATATGCAGATGACTCACAGCTTTACCTTCCTAAACTCACGCTACGCCCCTCCGCCACCCCAACCCCCGAACCCCGAAGCAGAAGAGCCTGATGAACTGAAGTGAACCCTCACCTTGTTTATAGTTCCACACTAGAGTGCGCTGTTGTAGCACGCCGAAGCTCCACAGAGTCGGAACCCTGCCGAACATGCCGCGCACGGTGGCGGCGGCGGCGGCAGAAGTTTGTCTTTGTACAGTCAGTGTACAGTTCCAGTGCGGTCAGTGTGTCCCAGTGAAGCCCGTCGGTTCTGACTGCTGTCGTAAACGTGGAGCTTTTCTCTGGTTCGCCCACTAGGTGTCACTAGTTATTAATCTCACAGTAAACATAACGCTTTCCTCACGACATATTTTGTAATTTCATTTGCTGCATTTGAAGGACCTTCTGCCTGGTTTAACTCCTTAACTTCCTGCATTTAAGATGCGATCGTTTACTTTAAGGCAGTCGGATATTTCAGCTCAGAACATTCGTTTTTTGCAGCGTATTCAAGCGTGGCGACATATTTAAGAGCTGAAGATTAAACCCAGAGTTGAAAAATAAGCAAATTTGGTCTTTCAGCGCAAAGCGAACGCTACAAACAGCTTAAATCAAGATGGAAGGTGTGTTGACATGAATTACCCGTCTTTGCATATTTGAAAATACTCGATCCTGGTTTCTGATCGCCGAGTCGAGCCGCGTCCGTTAAATCGAGTGTCTGAAACAGATAATACAGTTCAGAATGAGCATTTAACTGATAAACACCCCCAACAATCAGCATCAATGGCGGAGCTGCTCTTTCTGAGCATTTGATGAACAAAAATGTTTCGTATGTTTGAGGAAATTAGGCTGAACTCTGGTGAGAAGTTGAATTTCTACCCTCAGCTCCCGCCATTTCGGCTCTGCTGGTTTTTCGTTGTTGCCGCGTAAAACCGCCAGAAGATCCTCAATGCAGAACAAACCGGTCTGCACGTAGACGTGGAGGTTAAAGTCTGACCGTCGGGATGCGGCAGCATGTTTAAAGATGAAGCTGAAACATTTATCCACGGTTGGTGCAGAAAGTCAGAAATATGATCAGAAACCTGAGTCTTGATATAAATCAGCAGCTAAAAGTGGAACATCAGGACACGTGAACATATTCGGTCTGTTAAATGTTCCAAAATCATGCTTCATGGTGTCCTTGAACGCATCACGGCTCGTCGACTAAAACTGCCTGAAAGTAAAGAACTCGGTGAAGTCCAACAGGAGTTTAAACCGTCCAGAAGCTCCGGTTCCGTCCTTCAGACGCTCCGACAGATAAACGTCCTCCTGGTAGAAGCTAGCTGGGCGCTGGTTGTTTTATGGAG